TGGCAACGTATCGGAGTGGCCACATTCAGCCCAACACGATTGCCATGGTGCCCACACACGGCTACGTCAACTCAACGAATTACAGCCCTGATTCGATCCGGTGGTTGGACTTTGTTGCTGCTTCGGAAGGCATTGCCATTCAACATGCGTTGAACGGTTCCGGAGAGCACAGAATCGCCGGAATCTCGGTAGACGGTTTCTGCCAAGCAACACAAACCGTCTATCAGTTTCAGGTAGTAAAAAATATAACCATTCTTTTTCTATATGATTCTTTTGAATGATTTTACACTTTTAATGTTTAATTTACATGTGGAACACTATTAATATATTTGTATTATTTTAGGGCTGTTTCTTCCACGGGTGTAGTAGTTCCTGTTATGACGGTGATGTCATTCATCCACTAAAAGGGGTTTCCATGGACAACGTTGCGAGAGAAAAACGGAAGAGACCACACGAAAGCTTCGCACCCAGGGTTTCCACGTCATAGAAATGTGGGAGCATGAGTTTCAGAGAGAAAAAAGAGGAAAATCCGGATCTCCAAGCTTTCCTGGAGCAACACCATCTGAGGGACCGGCTTAATCCTCGAGACTCATTTTTCGGAGGACGGACCAATGCCCTCAAATTGTTCCACGAGGGAGACGCTAAATATGTGGATTTCACATCCCTCTATCCATGGGTTCGTACTTTTTTATTATTTTAAAACCTTTTCATGGATGATGTGTTTTTTCTGATTTTTATGTATGTTTTTTTGACTTTTTGTTTTATTTCACAGGTGAACAAATATTGCGTCTACCCTGTAGGACATCCAACAATCATTACGGAAAGCTTTGGGGATATAGAAAATTACTTTGGACTTATCCAGTGCCGTGTGATTCCTCCTCGGAACCTCTATCTCCCGGTACTGCCCTATCGGTGTAGGAAGAAGCTCATGTTCCCCCTGTGTCGGACTTGTGCCTTTCTACAGTCTCAGTCTTCCTGTACCCACACAGACGATGAAAGAGCTCTTGTCGGAACGTGGGTATCGGAAGAAGTCAAGCTGGCGATAAAGAAAGGTTACCGCGTCACACATGTAAGTATTCAAAGATTATTTAAATTATTTGTCATAACCCAAATTTATTTAAAATCTTTTGTCATAACTGAAATTTATTCTTTATTTTCTAGATTTACGAAGTGTATCATTTCAAAGAATCGTCTACTTCCCTGTTTCGTTCCTACATTGATCTCTTTCTGAAGATCAAACAGGAAAGTAGCGGATGGCCTTCGGAGTGTGTGACGGCAGAAGACAAATTAAAGTATATTCGCCAATATGAAGAAAGAGAGGGTGTCAAGTTAGACGCAGGAAAGATTTCCAAGAACCCTGGGCGTCGCCAAGTTGGCCCTGAATAGCTTTTGAGGCAGGTAAGATGATTTCTTTTGGACTTAAATTTTTTGTAAACATTTTTAATTCTTTGTGATTTATGTTGAATTTTTGTTTCAGATGGGGTATGAACGTCAACAAAGCGCAACTGACCTACGTACATACGGTGCCAGACTTTAATAAGATGTTGGCGGATCCTACTAAAAAAGTAAGTTTTCTTATCGATTTTATCCATCTATAAGCTTAGTGTGTTTCAAACTGTTAACTCATAACTATTTTGAACTGTTAACTCATGACTCTTCTATTTTCAGATCAAAGGATGTTTTTCTTTCCACGCCTGAGGTGGCTGCCATTTGCTGGGAATCTTCAAAGGAGTTTGTACCGCAGGATGCCTCGACCAACATTTTTCTAGCAACTTTTACGACAGCTTGGGCTCGTCTCAAGCTGTATAGTGAAATGGAGAAGCTGGGTCGAGATGTCCTGTATCACGACACAGATTCGAATGGTTGCAACGATCCCCCCTTAGGAAACTTCTTAGGAGAATTTACCGACGAACTGGATGGAGATGTTATCAAAACCTTCGTGTCAGGTAAACACCTTTAAAAAGTTCCTTATTTAATATGTACCAAAAAATGTTTAATGTTTTTTCTATTATCTCTTTTTTTCTCATGATGTTTTATTTTTTCAGGAGGACCGAAAAACTACGCATACCAGACGGCCACTGGGAAAACCTGCTGCAAAGTCCGAGGATTTTCATTGAACTTCCGGAATTCCCAGTTGCTGAATTTTGAAGCCATTAAAAGTCTGGTCTGCAGCCTCGACCGAAGTGAGATCATCTCTCTCCACAACCCCTGCAAAATCACCCGAGAAGCGAAGAGAAGAAAGGTGGTGAATAAACCGGAACAAAAACTGTACAGAATTGTGTTGGATAAAACGGGTGATCCAAAAAGACTTGACCACCTTACCATTTGGCTTTTGAAAATAAAGAACTTTTGTAAAAATGTATGGTATGTACAAAAAAAATGTTTGTATGTAAAAAGATGTTATGCACAGTATTTGCGTGTAAAAACTTATTTAGATAAAAAAATAAACAGAAGTTTGAATGAAAATTATGGTTTTTTTCTTTTTTTCAAAGATTGGCATGAAAGGTAAGTTTTTTTAATATTTTTTAGAAAATAATGGTTATATGTATATATTAGTTTAATCAAAAAAAATGATTTATATATTAATTATCAAAGAAAAACATAACACAAATAATCAGAAATTAACTTTATTCATATTCAAAGTATTACACATTCATTACAATTTCAGCCATAGTTTGCGAAGAGGATTTTCTTTTAGGTCTAGCATACATAGTTTTTACATTCATTAAATGTTTGTTTTTGACAAAGTCTTGAGGAAAGTTGTTAACATTCAGTACATTTTTAAACTGTTCAAAGGCAAAAGGTTTTTGAGTTCTATTTCTCAACAGAAAGTTTATCAACTGAACAATGTCAGAGCCAGAAAACACATGATCATCCAGAATGAGTTCTTTATTCTGTGTCCAGGAAATCTGATGCTCTTTTAGAAAATCTATTATTTTCTGTGCCGTTCTTTTCTGCTTCACAGGAACTGTTTGCATAATTTCTTTTTCTATATCTTTCTCAGAACGTTGTTCAGGCGGTTGTTCTTCGGAAGTGTTCACATGAGGAAATGTAACATACTTTTGCAGAACCTGGATGTACAATTTAGACTTTTCTTCATCGTCCATTTTCTTTTTTAAGATGTTTTGAATTTGGGTATCTAAATCACTCAAATGTTCATCTTCAAATTGCTGCATACGATCCAGGGGTACCAGCGCAAATTTCTTACTGTGTTCCATGGATAAGGGAGGATAAGACACTGACTGCTGCAGGAATCAGGAAAGATAGGAAACCGTCACCTTTTTGAACCAAAAGACGTCTTTTCTTAAAAAGAGGTACTTTTTTGTCCGCTAGTTTTCTTAAAGTTCTTTTAAAAGGGGCGAGTCGATTTTTGACGCGTTTGGTGATGGGTACGTTTCCTTTTAGAAGATTTAAAACGCATTCACAAACTGATTTGATGAGATGATTCGGACACTTTTTCAGTACAGCTGCTTTTATTCGACTTTTTCCTAATAGTTTTAGATAATCCACATCCTTCAGATGAGACATGCTGATGACAAATGAGCTCTTTTTCTTGCACACTTTCTTTTATATAGGTAGCAAATGCAGCCGCTTTGGTTAAAGCACAGCAATTAAATCCTTTTGCATGAATCGAACATGTTAAAGAACTTTTTCTTTTTAAATTCTCTATCTTAGGACAGTCTAGATTTATGATGTCTCTACATAATAAATTTTCTAAAAATAATTTCTTTTCTAATCCTTTCACGTATATGACAGAATAAATAGATGACAAATATTGCAAAATAATACGAAGGTGAGTATAAGGTAATACACCCTCACTCCAATTCATGTGATGACGATTTCTTGTGACCCAAGCAAAACACTTTTGCTGAGATCGTGATAATGTTTTCCAAGGCTGAGGAGGTAAAAATGACCAGCAACTGTGATATCCTTCATGCACGGAGTAAAAAGCTAATTCTTTAACAATGTAACAATGAGGCATCCACTGAAAACCTTCGAAATCGATCACGATGGGAGAAGACATGTTAGCCATTCGACGTCTCAAACTGAAATGAACTATCGGGGCTGGTAGACATAGTATTTATCCCCAGGAAAGATGCCTGTACGAAGGCGAAGCGTTTCACTTGTTTCAGGTCGTAAATCAATCAACAAGTAGCTAAATGGAGTTGAAGTAGCATCCTGAAAAATTTCTTGAAAGGCCTTTACTTTTCCGGGGAACATTTGTCTAGCTAAATGCATAACTTGACTTTTATCTCTAGGATTTTTGTATAGGACAAGGTAATGGGAATTTAAATGAATATTTCTCATCTCCTTGCCTTGGTGAAAAAGATTTTGTGTTATAAAAACGACTGAAAGGTTTCGGTGATGACTTCCTTTTGTAAAAAGTTTGCTTAAGCGAGTATCACTTGCTAATTCAGACATTAAATCGTCTATGATAAGTAAAGCATTTTGGAGAGTCTGCAGGTTAGATGGTAATCCTTCTTCAAAATTTACGTTTTTCATGGAATTAAAAAGAGGTTGATAACTTCCGTAGCAATAAATAATATTGGTCGGCATGGGATGGAACATTTTATGATCTATCAATTTCTTCACAAAAACCGTTTTTCCCGAACCGGTAGGTCCGCTCAGAAGACAAGTAGAAGGATGTACGAACTTGGGCAGTTCCATTTTTGGAAATGACAGCATGTTAAGAAAACACTGACTTTTATACTTTACCGAAAATCCTTTTGCATAAGACATTTATTCATTTTGTTTAAATAAGTGTAGAAACAAGAAACACAAGAGACATTTTTACAAATTAAAACAACTTTATTTTTTAAAAATCATGTTTACACCATATCTTTTTTTGACAAATTGAAATATTTGGAAATCATGATTCTTCCCATCTAAGGGTGATACAATGAGTTCCATACAGAGTCCTTGACAGCGTTTAATAATAAAATAAATACAATAATGTCCACATACATTAGAAGTTAAACTCTGAAGCGAAATCTTGTTCCAGCAAACATGACGATATTTCTTGACAAAGGATGTGATATCTTTTCCATATACTTCAGGCGGGAGTCCATAAGAGTCAAAAAATTCCAGAGTCTGTTTGTCTGCAATGTAGACAGCTAGCCAATGAGTTCCTTTTTCATCATGTTTATCCAGTATTGAGCACCAGTGCACAGGGAAAACTTTGAATCGCAGGTATTTTATCACAAGGAAAAACACCCGCATAATATCTCAAAGAAATAGGATCTCGAGATAAGATTTGATGAATCTGTGATGAATTCATCAGTTTCCAAAATCGTACAGAATATTTCGAGCTTTATTGATTTCTATCAAATTTTCAAATTCAGCGTACACTAATAACGAAACAGTTTGTTGTAAGGGAGTCCCAAATTTTATTTCTAATCTTAAGTTGCTGTGTCGAACTAGATTTAAATGAGAGCCATCACAAAGGTCAGGTGACAGGTCGAAGCGAAATAAGGAATATCCTTTTGAAAATTCTGATCTTGAAAGGTAAAGTCCTCTGTCGTCTGCATTCATAAATAAATTCTGATAAGCTCGTATGAAATGATTTTTGTCAAAATTAGGCTGAAGAGGATTATGAGGTACCGGTTGACCGTCCACATAAACGCCGATAAAGTTCATATTATAATGCTTGAATTCAAAAGGAGACTTTTTATAGTTTCCGTTAAAGGCATCATTATCGACGCACATGCCACCACAATACGATTAGGCATTTGACCTATGAAAATATTGTCTTGAATAAAACTCATATTTCCCGTTGGAATGGAATAGGCTTTGCAGAGCACTCTATTAATGGGATATTTGGCTGTTGATTTTTCTAGGCTTTTGGCATGTCCTAGCACAACACCTGGACTGACTCTCACTTTGCGTACAAACAATGAAGCTTGTTCGAGTAAAACTTTAAATTCACCTTCGCCCAATAAACAAAATTCAGGTTTGCTGCGTATGAGTTTAATTTTCATATCCACCATATTCAGCAAAAGTCTTTCCTGATGAAACATATCCAAGTGCAATCGGCCAATCATATCGACCGAAGCACTCAGTTTAAACAATTCTGCTCGTTGGTTGAATCCTTCATTCGGCTGAGTGTCTTGAATATCAAAAACGTTCATACGTCCTGCTGTATCTTTGAAAAACAATTCTGATGACAGTTGAGACGTTTTCGTATCAAAACCATGATTCAATAATTTTTCTATCATGGCTCTGTAAGGATACGTGTTATTACTGGTGGAAACGAGTCTTTCATTTAAGCTAATATCCACTTGAGAAAACATAGAATGTAAAAAGAGATTGACAGGTCCCACTTTACTTTCAGCCGTGATTGGCTTGCCATCATTTTTTAAAATTTTCACTTTGACGTAGAGTTGTGTCTGTGATAAGTCTAGGTAGTCGTCTCCGCTTCCAGAAACATTGAACTCGACAGGACTTCCTTCCGATACATTGGCTAATGGATGAAATTCAACCCACTGACCTTTTTCGATAACTGTTTGTGTGGGAGGTAACGAAAATAAATCCAATTCGGATTTTGCGCATTCCGGAGAATCTTTTAACAGAAAAGCCATTACGAGTCAAAAATATCACGTCGTTGCACCTTCCTGGCTTTAGACGAAATGAAGTGTTTGGGGGGTTTTGCGCTTCCTTTTAAACCTTCCGTGACCAATCATCTCGTCTGCTTTCTGAACTGCTTTCCTCGCTAATTTTTTGCCAGCTTCTTTAGATCTGGTTTTGAGGGAGACTTTAAAATTTTCTCCCGACAATACGTCGTTTGCAATTTGTGTTCCAGTCCGCAAAGCCTCTTTTACAACTGTTTTGGCTCCACTCATCAAAAAAGGCATAGCACTGCGAAACAGCTTTGCAAAAAATCCACCAATACCATAACCTTTCTGTAAAATGGTTCCTTGATAGTAAGGTAATCCATTTCCAGTTTGAGCTAAATAATAATCTTCAAATTTTTTCGTGCAACACGTATAAGGCACCCGCATGTTTGATGCTTCTAATCTTGCATACACAATCCAAATGAAATCAATTTGCAGATGAAGGCTTCTTTTATAGAATTTGTCTCAGACGAAAATGCAACACAAGAAATACTTTGCCTCTTTCGAATGGTACTAAATCTCCAGAGTGAAGTCTTATGTCAATATGTATAGTCTGAAAATGTTGACGGATAACTGGCAAGTAAAAGGGCCGGGGGTAATGAGCGTTTATGATGTCTCCGTCATTTCCTTCTACGGTGACAATTTTTAACAACGGGAGCTTGTACATCTCCCACAATTTGAGGCTCTACGAGATCGCAATACACATACATGACAGGAAAAGATACTTTGGGATCGGCTACAAAAGGACTTTGTTCCAATCCTTTGTAAACACCCGGCTCGAACCCTAGAAGCTCCAGCTAATCCTTCGTGAAGAATGACTTTGCAGTTTTCGTCGGTCTTAATGGTCACTTTTTTCGTAACAGGATGATAACTGAATTCAATCTTATTTTTATGGGAAGGTATTTTCATGGCTTTTAATAAATCTGGTATCGTTTCATAACATCCTGGAGGCACTCTTCGACCTTCCAATTTTCCATCACCCAAATCAAATCCAAATAAATTATTGTCTTTTCGGACGTTATACCATGTGTGAGGGTAAATAAAGTCCACAAGAGATAACTCCCACTGACTATTTAAATCCATCGGAGTAGGAAGCTGAGTGGTAAATTGTGATATTTTGTTGTCTGGAAAAAAAACGCATGGAGCTGTCGCTGATCAGTGTGATAAAGAAAGACATGTTTCGTTCAAATGACAGATAAGCAGAATGTACGGGCCTTTTATACCCTTCTCACATCATCCACCCAAGCATTGAAGCTTTCGGGGTACCCCTGAAATTTCACAAAATATTCTATTTTCCCGCGACGTTTCCTCTTTCTTAAAACTTTTTCTACAGGATAATAACCAGAGTCCGAAACCTTTTGAAGTTCTTGTTTGTAAAACGTTCCTTGTATAACTTCTCCTGCTAGATCTTTCAGTTTATAGACAACAGGAATCCGTCGAATAATTTTATAGATTGTAAAAATTTCTCGTGTCCAGTTTTGTTCGTATCCTTTCTCAAAGAGCATTTTTTCTCGGCTGATGCGCACCGTGTCTCCAATCTTTAAATCTGAAGAAATAGGGTTTTGTACTGGTTGCTGACCATACAGCGTTTTCCAAATGTTTTCTTGATTTTGTAATGTAACGGATACAGGTTCTGTCTTAATACTGCGATGCCATGTATGGTTATAACTGGATATCAATTTATCAATCACATCAATGTACTTTCGTGTATTCATTTCGGTAAAGTATTTCCACATTTTTGTTTTTAGAGTTCGATTAAATCGTTCTACGACAGAAGCTTTGGTTGTATTATGTGTCGTGAAAAAGCGAACGTTTCTCTTTTTCAAAAAATTTTGAACTTGTTTATTGGTAAACTCTTTCCCTGCATCTGTTTGTAATGATTCGGGTGTACGTTCCGAAAATATCTTTTCGAAAGCGGATTGGATGGACACAGATGTTTTATCTTTGAGAGGGATAGCCCAAGCGTATTTGGAAAGGATATCTATACAGGTCAGCAAATATTGATATCCATCATTAAAAGAGGCCAGGGATTGCATATCCACTAAATCAGATTGAAATTGCTCGTTTAAGCCTCCTACGATGACTCTGTTCCTGGGAAACTTGTGCCTCAAAGGCTTGTGCAAAGTATAAGAATCTTTGGTTTGCAACTATTTCTGGATGTCTTTTGTTTTTACGCGACCTTTTAAAGCACGATGCAAAGCAGCAACACCCCCGAAACTTGCGGGGACCTGTGGATCCCGATAGGTCTGAGACAGAGCTGCGTTCATTGCAACAGTTGTTATGATCTAAGCGTACACTGATATTCATTTATATATGTTTGACTAGAACAGGGAAATAATGCCAGAGTTTCACGTATATTAAGATTCTAGAAATAGGTCTAAAAAACAAGAGAGAAAAATGAATGTTACTTAACATCTCAAAGGCTGAATAATGAATGATACATGTTTAAGAATAACAACACTATTTATACTCTATAAAAGTCAACAGGTATTTTGAAAATAATTTATGTGTAAGTAATCATTACAGATTAATTCTTTTAAATAAGGTCTGAACCTGGAGACATGAGGCCATTGTAAAATAAAAATAACATTTTTTTATTGAACATCCTAATTAATTTACAAATATTCATAGTATTCAATACCTAAGACACCATTCGTAGTACAAAATGTGTTTTCTTACTTCATCGAGTACATGGTTTAAACACACAGATTTTAAAAAGTCCTTGGTAATGTAGTGAGCAGGTTTCAGTAACATTAAATAGGGATTCTTCACCCCAAATGTTTCCATAAAATTGCCTGGCGATGTCAACAGCATTGAATCTCAGAGCAATGGCATTCACAGTTTCTGTTTTATGAACGAGTTCTTCACAGTCTTATCAGCTGGGGATATTTCAGTTCGTCTTGTTGATTAAGAAGTTCTTCAAGTGACGTCTTTAGAATGGTTTGAAGTCGCGCTCTTCCCATAGAAATGTCAAAGGATTGGGGTAGATTTTCCTCTCTGACAGGTTCGTCGGATACGCTTTCGTAGGCTTCACAAAAGTTCATGTTTTGATAAACGAGGTTGGTGACAATATCGCTGATACGGCTAAAGTTGGACATCAGTTCTTCCCACTGCGTCGTTGTAATGCTGAGGCTACTTTTTTCATCTCCTTGAGCAAAAGTTGTTTCAGAGTGAAGTGGGAATCTTTATACGTGACCACAAAATTCTTGGGCAATTCCAGATTCAGTGTCAGCAGGTCTGGTTCCTCCACTGTCATGTTGGTTGCGAGAACATTCAAACACCATGGCTCAAAGTTTCACTCCTCGTCTTGTCGGATAGTAAGCTTTACCATATTTGGCATACTCTCGGATGTGCACAGTCACTTTTCCCTTGTAAATGCTGGGTCCCACAAAGACATTGTCTCCCATGTGAGTGAGCTCCTCTGGAATAGCCTCTTCGGTGAAGAGTCCTTTGCGCTGAAAAAAAAAATTAAATCAGTTAGTATATAATACATAAAAATGGGGTCACATACAATATCAACTTTAATATATAAGCTTTTCGCAAATACGTACTTTTTTCTCGAAATGGGATGTTTCTTCTGCTTTTCTTTTGATACAAGAGCTAGCTGATTCTCTTGGAACATCTTGGGTGCGGTCTTCATGGCTCAACACTTTATCGTTCAAAGGCATAGGTTCTTTCTGAAATAGGTTTTCCATCTGAAAAAAGTAAAGACAAATTAAGCACATATTGCAAATTCAACTATTTTTAAAGATTAAAAAATCTAAAAAATGGTATATTTCAAAAAGTTACTTACCTCTCTGTGGTTTCGTGCCTGATCCATTCGAAGCAGTGAAGAATGATTGTCTAAGCAAAAGCAGGTACGTACACTCAGGGCGACAGGCAGGAAAGAAATGCGGAACGTTGCTCGGGATAACCTTATATCGGGCAGGAACTCTTTATTTCATCTGAACGGTGATTGGTTAAGAAACGGTGAGGTCATATTTCAAAGAATCTGATTGGTTCACAGAAAAGTATCCATACACCTCAGCAGAGGCATACAAAGGCGTGATACGGCAGACGCCATTTTGTACAGCAACATGTCGCAACAAGAAATAGATGATGTCATTCCAAACACGTGGTTCAAGAGTTCGTTGCCATAAACATAAAAAATAGTGTTGTTGCCACAAAAATAAAAACTTTGAAAAGATCGTTACCACACCATAAAAACGAAAGTTTGATGATGTCATTCCATCACGTGATACAAGATGGCGCTGGTGTCGTCATTTCCGGAGAAATTCAAAATGGCGGAGGCCACGCCCCCGTTGCGTCATCCATTGTTCTATTACGTCATGGCGGCATCCTTTGGGCTCCCGGTTACCTCCGCTTACTACTTACGTGACACGTCATCCTCATCTTCTTCTGCCTCATTCCTTTACTTTTCTTGAGCTTCCTTTTCCTTTCTCTCCTTTTCCTTCTCTTCTTCAGTTGATTCCAAGAAATTGTGAAAATTCTGAAAACGATTCGGATAGTCCGAGTTCAGATAATCAGGTGTCGGTGTATTTAATTATGGCAAAGCACACTAGGGCTACCTGCCTAAGGGGAGGGATGCCTTCGTGGAGGACTTTCTAAGGGAAACTGGCTCGTATATACGTTACACACGGGGAAAACCACGAAAACGCCCATGCAGCCAGCCCGTTCGCGGGATTCGAACCTCGGACCGAACTAGCAGTGTTCAGCGACTTTACCGCTCGGCCGCTGGTGGGCCCGTTCAGATAATCAGAGTTTGGATAATTGGAGTTGTACTGTATCTGCAGTGGCTCCCAAAAGTGTTCGTACACTTGCGAGTATCGGTGAAGTATTGCTTTATTCATTAATAAAAACTAACATTTGAGAATGAGAATTTTTGAATACTATCTATTAATTTCTACCCGCCCAGCCGGTATAGTGGTTAGCGTTGCTGACTGCCGTGCCGAAGGGCCCGAGTTCGAATCACGGAGAAGGCATGGATGTTTGTAAATGTATAGTGCCGATGCGGTATCGCGGCACTCTGAATATGCAGCGAACCGAAAATCCTCTCGTGTGGTTTGGTGGAAGGGTAAAGGGGTGGGAGACTCTCGGACCCGTCCCTTCCCTGGGAGGGCTGTCCATCAAAATTGGGGGGCGGAACTGAGTTAAATCGCACTGTCGCCTGTAAGGTGCTCAAGGGAAATCACTTCATATGCGGTCAGGTCGTAAATTCAGAACCCCTTTTTTCATGGGGGGGGGGGCTGAAAAGGAGGGATAATCTTGCTCGTGGTCTTGAGAAAATGTGGAGGTCGTTTAAACATCTAACTTCTCTACATTCAACAAACTGAATTCTTCGAATGAATGCAATTTTGTACAATGAAAATGTATCGCTTAACGATAAACTGTAAGATAAATAACATCTTTTTTTAAAGCCATAGGTATAGAAAGACAGATATTTGTTACGCGAATGAATTTGTAGTAAATATTGAGTTTTCCATTTCGAATCCTATGTTCCATGTATGCGAAGTAGCTGAGTATGTGAGATAATGGTCATAACCGAATGGCTTTCAACCTTTTCACGGCTAAGGACTGTTTCTCAATTACATTGTGGTCGCGCTTTTTGGCTTTTTGGTTAATTTTCTAATGACATATAACCAATAATTGTTTTTATTTGAGACTTATGAATAAAATAACGCAAACTAGACTGCAGAAAATTCTTAAGAATGAAGTTAAATAATACTGAAAAATACATTATTGATGCACTTTTGTGTTTATATGTAGTAGTATTAACTACTACATAATCCTTAAATGGAATCCTTAAATTATATATATCTATGTATAGGTATATATAAATGGAACCAAATATAGAACAAGGTATAAAATATCTTTATTATACAATGTTCATTACCATACGTATATTTACGTAATTATCAATATAAATAGTTAGTTAGGTTTTGTACATATATAATTTATTTTTATATTTTGTATTTTTTGTATTAGATTCAGTATTGTATACGTATCTGAAGTTTAATTTGTTCTCTTTCTGGGTTACGACTTTAAGTGAGAAAGAATTGTTAGGGCCTTCATAGGGATTACATTATATACAATCAGTTAGGATCCGACTTTTCCTTTCTTTTAATCATTATATATATTGAAATACTACTTGTTAAGTATACATAAAATATAGCAGTTTTTTAAGCTACTTATTTATATATCTATTGCTTGGTCTGGTTTGTTTGATTATAGCAGAGCATTCGACGGTTATTTGCCTAAGGGTAAGGGTGCCTCGTGGAGAACTTTCTAAGCAAAACTGACTCTTATCAGTTAAAATCACTTCGAGGTTCACTGGCTCTTGTCTAAATGTACCTATATACCAAATTTCGTCGTATAAGACTTGTAAATAATGACTGTTTATTAGGAATTCTCACGTGCTGTGAAAATTAATTTTATAACAACTTATAAATAATAGTACATGACTCTGATCAATAGGATTGTAATATTCAGCAAAAAATAAGTGGCAGAAGTAAGACAGAGCTCTAAATACTTTTAAAGTGCATGGAATTAAACAATTGTAGTTTTATAGAGTTGGATGAAGCGGGTGTCATGTCCCATTATGTAGCGAAAATTCTCCCCTATTTCTGTGCTTACGTGATAATAATATATGTTTAAAATATAACCCTTTAAAATGCCCCTTGCTTATTAAAATAAGTAAATACAACTGTAGATTATGCAGTAATTAATCTAAGACGAAAACTCTTCGCAGCAGGTCGAGCATATGTCGCCTGGAGACATGTGAAATCGTTAGAAGGAATATTAATTGAAGAACTCGACAGTTCCAAACTCACTGGAAAGGTTCCTTGCAAAAATGAAGCATTACAAGAGATGGATAGAATGAGAAATTATAGATCACCATCAGCTTCATAATTTAGAAACGAAAAAATGTTAATAAAAAGTAACTAAAATAAAATTTATCTTTGTTGACCTAAGTAGGAATTGACTTAATTTTATATATATATGTATATATATTACACTGACTACCAATAAGTATTTGGACACCTGTGATAGAAAAGAAAAACTAACTTTATTCAAAATCAATAGTTGGTAGAGCCTCCACGAGAGATAATTACAGCGTGGAACCTCCGGGGCATACTTTCCACAAGTCTTTGTATGACAGCTAGTGGTATTTTCTTCCACTCGGAGAAGACATAGAAGTTCCTACACCGATTTTGCACGGGTAGTGCACTCCTGAATTCGGCGATGAAACTCGTCCCAGAGGTTCTCGATAGGTTCAGGTCTGGGCTCTGGGCAGGTCAGTCCATTCGATGAACTCCATTGACACCATACCAAGCCTTGGTTAACGTCGAAACATGACAACTGGCATTGTCGTCCTGAAAGTAACAGGGGTCCAACCCGTAAAAGACGTTCTCCAGGTAGACGCCAGACCCAGACCCTGCCATCCGAAAGGTAAAAGGTGAACCTTGATTCGTCACTCCAAAGAACCCATTTCCAATGATTTACGGTCCAATTTCGATGTGCTTTGCACCACATTAACCGAGCAGCGCGGTTGGACTTTGTGATCAAAGGCTGATGGGCAGCAGCACGACCATGAAAACCAAGCAGATGTGCTTCCTTACAGATGGTATTCATTGAAACAATACTCCCAGATGCCTGTTGAAACTCCTCGCGGATGAGGACCATCGGTTGGGTGCGGTTGTTCCGAATTTCTCTGGACAGCACTTGTCGGTCTCTATCTCCCAGTTTCGTTGGTCTGCCGACTCGGGGCACATTCCGACAATCACCCCTCACTTTCCACTTCTTAATCACATAGGTCGATTTTGGGTACTTCAGATCGCTAGATATGTCCCTTAAGGATCGGCCACATTTGTGATACCCGATAATTATACCTTTCTCGAAATCAGAGAGCTCCGAACTGCGAGGCATCTTGCATACGACTAGAGCCGATACTGTTTCCTACACGATATATACCGGCGGAGTCCGTGACGTACCTTAGGACCGCAGATATCGTCATTTGCATAGGTGTCCAAATACTTATTGGTAGTCAGTGTACTTGTTGTGTTTAATTCTGTAGTGAAAATTACGAGCAGTTTTGGAAATGCATTTTTGGATGGATTATTGTAATTTTTAAATATTTATGTTGCGCTCTATTTCTTTTAAACCAAGGGTGCTATTTTTCAGAACTCGTATTCGTTGATTTCATAGAAATTGTTTATGCAGTATGTTCCCATATGGCAGAATATTGTTTCATATATAATTTTATTATGGAGAGAAAAACTGCTATGTTTTCCGAGAAGATGTCTACGGAAATGTTAAATTTATTTTTCAGTGTGTCGAAACAAGGTCTAAAATAAAGTTTGTTGTCAAGTATGAATTAGTTTATTAACAAACCCAACGATATCAGTTATCTCTTACACACGGTTCTTAAACACAATACCGGATGGTACTTGATTAAATGTATCCGACATATGTAAACTAAACTTAAAGCATCTAAAGTAAAAGTAAATTGGAGTCAAAGCAAGGCAATTCCTCATCAACGTTAATAATTGCATCCTTTATAAGGTATTTCTCCCGCCTTCTTAGTGTGCCTTCGTAGTGTAGTGGTGTGCACGCTGGGCGCGTATTCTAGAGGTCCGTGGTTCGATTCGCGGCGAAGGCGTTGCTCATTTTTCATCTTGCCTGCTTCAAAAAAAATCCCTAATGTCTCTACAGTGGCGCCCGAAATAAAAGTGTGGGGGATGATGACTCTCCACACTCAAGCTTTGGTGATTGTATCCCCTAAATCCCCAGTCGTCCTTTAAAAGGGGGAGTATATAAGGTATTTCTCCTGCGTTCTTAACGTGCCTTCGTAGTGTAGTGGACTGCAAGCTGGGCGCGTATTCCGAAGGTCCGTGATTCGATTCCCGGTAAAGACGTTGCTCCTTTTTCATGTT